TAAGCTCGCATCGAACCGCAGAACAACCTTGCTGTCCTTGAGTGCCAGTCACAAATTTTGGAATCGTATTTTAAGCAATCGCAGATCGAACGGCTGGATGCAGCCGACGACGGCCGTCACTCGTATTGGGGCAACGAAGAAGGACCGGCCAGAAGATGCAAGTTTCTTCAATTCATCAGTAAATTACGCAACTGGGCACCATAATCGTTTACCATTGTTAAAGCTACCTAAGTTCGACGGGAAGTATGGTGACTATATAAAGTTAATCACTGCCTTTACTAGTATGGTACATGATGACGCTTCAATATCTACTGTTGACAAAATCAACTACTTGCTTAGCTGTTTGTCTGAAGCCGCTCTGAGTGTCGTGGCCCCCTTTCAAGTGTCCGAAATAAATTATCCTAAGGCCTTAAAGCAGTTAAAGGAGCGCTACGATAAAAAGGTTTTGATTTTCATAGAGCCCATTTCTAGCTCATTTGATATCCAAATGATGAAGAGATCTGATCCCGCAGTTCTTCGTTGTTTTTTGGATACCGTTTCCGCGCTGCGTGAATCGTTGTTGTCGTTAGGAACGGAAGCAGATGTTATGAACGCAATATTAATTCATCTTGTTTTATTTAAATTAATGTAGATTCAAAATTATCCTACGATCGGGTTCAAGAATACTAGGTGTTGCCCACTTGGGAGGATTGTTACCGCAGTTTAAGCCGTCACTGTCAATATTTGGAGAGTAACGTTAAACGATCATCTGATGAGAAGCCAAAAAAAAGGCCCACACAGAATAGGAGAGCCTTTGTTGCGGCACAGGGTTGTTGTAAAAAATATTCTGCTACTGATCACGCTCTCACTCAGTGCCCTTCATTTAGTTCACTAGACTGGTAGGATAAATAGATCGAGATGTCGCGTTTGTCAAGGCCTACATTACACTATTCCTCATATAACTGCTCATCCAGAGCAACCAACACAGATTGTTGCCCACACTTCTCAGCAGGAACAGAAACCCACACATGCTATTTCCATGCTTTCGCGTCATTCGAGGCGCGCTTTAATTCCTACAGCAGTAGTGTTGATTAGGGATAAATTCGGAATATTTCAGCCAGCCAGAGCTTTGCTTGATTCAGGCTCTGAAATAATTTTCATCTCTGAAGAGTTGGCCAAGCTCCTTCAGCTCATATTCGAAAGACAGAAGTATGACATTTCTGGCATAAGTGATGTCAGACGCAGATGACATCTTCTGTCTCAACAAATATTCGATCATCGACTATCAGTAAATGAATGGCATTTACAATTCGCTGTAGCGAAAACAATATCGCTTAATCAGCCAGAGCGTTTCGTTGACACTTCACAGTGGAACATACCTACAGAGATTGACCTTACAGATCCAGGATTCTACATGCCTTTTTTGATTTTCTTTCAAATGGCCAAATTTCTCAGGGTCCTAGCATTCCTTGCCTGGTCAATACTTCACTTGGTTGGATCGTTGGCGGAAAGGTTTCTGATATTCCGCTATCACAAGTCGTCACACGCGACATGGCATGTTCCACGGAGCTGCAAGACGCATTAGAAAGGTTTTTTCTAATAGAGGAGTTTGATTCGCACCAGAATTGTTTCACCGAGGGGAGGAATACGAACGGCATTTTTTGGAAAACACAAAGTTTCTCACATCTGGACGGGTCCAAGTTTGCTTGCCCCTTAGAGAGAACCCTCATAAGCTAGGTAAATCTTTTGAAATTGCCAAACCCCGGTTTCTGCAAAATGAACGCAGGTTGAACCGCAACCCGTTGTTAAGAGAGATGTACGTGAAATTCATGAGTATATAGCTCTGAATCACATGCAATTGGCATCTGATTTCGACTCGCAGAAGACCCATTATGTAATCCCGCATCATGGAGTCCTTAGATCAGAAAGCACAACTACCAAGCTGCGTGTTGTGTTTGATGCATCGTGCAAAACAACGACGAACCTTTCTTTGAATAAGTTTTTGATGATTGGGCCAATTATCCAGCAAAATCTTATCTTAACACTTCTAGCCTTTCGCTTACATCGTCACGCACTTGTAGCGGATATCTGCGAAATGTATCGTCAGTTTGAAGTATCACCAGTCGATCGTATGTATCAACTTGTTCTCTGGAGAAAATCCTGTACTGCGCCTCTGGAATTGTTTCAGCTCAACACTGTCACGTACAGCATGTCCTGCGCACCATTTCTTGCAATCAGGAGCTTGAAATATATTGCGGATCACTTCTCAAAGCAGTTTCCCACCGGAGCAGCCGTACTTAAGGAAGAGATGTACGTCGATGACCTCCTTACTGGAGCAGACAGTGTCGAAGAACTTCATCTCAAGGCTGCAGAGGTCACCAGCATACTTTTTAAGGCTGGATTAGAGCTTGCAAAATGGAACACAAGCAAAATAGAAGGCAATGAAGCAGAGTTTTAATTCAAGGTTGATACCAAAGATGTAACGAAGACATTGAGCATGTCGTGGCAGCCCGAACTAGATGTGTTCTGTTTTAGGTATACACTACCTAAAATCACTGTCATCACCAAGCGGAGCATCGTTTCACTTGTGGCTCACATGTACGATTTGCTAGGGCTCGTATCACCAGTCGTTATTCGATGCAAAATATTGATCCAAGAGTTGTGTATGCACCGTCTAAACTGGGACGATCCACTTCCCTCTGAGCTTCAATCCCAGTGGAAGCGAATCGAAGAAGATTTGCACCATCTTCAAACCACCGAAATTGCAAGATTTATTAACTCGTCACCAAGAAATCTATCGGAAATACACGGATTTTCAGATACATCGCAGCGAGCTTATGGCTGTTGCCTATATCTACGAACAAACTTAAATGGAGAGTTTAAATCAATATTAATTATCGCAAAGTCTAAAGTGGCCCCAATAAAGGCAATTTCATTGCCGCGGCTAGAATTGTGCGCAGCATATTTATTGTGTCAAACATGGGCCAAGGTTAAGGAAAAATTCGAAAATTACATTAGTAAAGTTTTCTTTTGGACAGATTTAAGATTGTTCTACAGTGGCTAACCATACACACGCCCAGGCTAAACTGTATCGTCGCCAACCGGATTTCTGAGATGCAATCAATCACTTCAAACATTATTTGGAGGCACGTTCCGGGCAAGGACAATCCCGCGGACATAGTGTCAAAAGACTGAGCTTATGGAAACTATATGGTTTAGCATACCAAGCTTCTTACGTCAACCCTCATCTGGATGGCCTCAACCAGAGCAAATTCTCAGGACACCGAAGAAGAGTTGGAGCTGCGAAAAGAAGATGTATTCGATTACATTATCAACAAGTTCTCATCCTATCGGCGCATTTCGCGAGTCATAGCTTTTGTGTTGCGCGTCTTCAATGAAATCTGGCCAACAGGAAATTGAAAGTAGTCGATGTAATTCATACATCAGCAACTGAATTGCAATACGCGTGCAGCACATATCCAGCAGAAGACCTGCTGGAACGAAATCCAGCTGCTCAAGGAAAACAAGATTTTAAAACCCGAATTTCAAAAACTAAATCCATTCCTAGCAGCGACTGACGGATCAAACCGTGCCAAATTTCCTGTTCTTCTTCCAAAGGATCATTGCTTAACATTGAAATTTGTTGAATATCTGCACCGGCAGCACATGCACGCTGGACCAAAGGCTCTCATTGGAATTCTGAGACTCCAGGCTTGGATTGTAAACGCCAGAGAAATTGTTCGAAACATTGTACGGCGCTGCACACACTGTTACTTATAATGGTAACAAATAATGGGATCACTTCCAGGTGAACGCTTTCATTCACAATGACCTTTCTTTGTAACTGGAGTCGACCTATGTGGACTATTTGCCACATCATACCGCATTCGAAACAAAGTGCCATATAAAACATACATGGCCGTGTTTATATGCTTTTCGTCAAAAGTAATCCACATAGAACTCATTTCCGATCTGTCTACTAATAACTTTATTCTTTGTTTAAAGGGCTTCTTCAGTCGCATCTATTGTGACAATGCAACTAATTTCGTCGGGACACGATCTCAGCTCGAGGACTTTAGGCAGCAGTTGTTTGACGAAGTCAACACATTAAATGTGCATATATTCAGCAGCATCGTGGGAGGCCGCAGTGAAGTCCATGAAGATATTGATGATCAAAAACTTGGGCCACACTGGGCTAACGTACGAGGAGCTTCAAACGATTGCAATCGAGGCGGAGGTCATCTTAAACTCAAGACCAATGGCACCCCTACGAGGCACTTAGCCAAGCGCACCTGCAAATTGGGTCCTCTTTAATGCCTGTACCGGAGCCTTCAATTGACAAGAGCAGACCATCCTATCTTACGCAGCGCGTAAAGTACTTGAAGCAGCAGTTCTGGGAGCTATGGAAACGTGATTATTTACACACACTTCAGGCGCGCTCCAAATGGCTCAAACCCGATGCCAACAAATTGACCAAATTATAATAATTCACGAGGATAATACACCTCCCCAGGAGTGGATCCTGGGTCGCATCACCAACACGCATTTCGGAGCTGATGGATGAGTAAGAGTGGCCGAGGTCAAGGTGAAAAATGGAACCATTCGTAGATTACTCCTTGGATCATTCAACGAGCGGAGAATGTTCGATGACATCATAACTGAATGCCAATTTTCATTTGTTATTATTTGTTTATAAATAACTTTATTTAAAAACAGTTGATTAATTTGAATTCTTTGCTAGCTTGTACTACTTAATTACCCCTCACTGTAATAATACGTTTGTATTTCAAATTCGCTCTTATACATACAGCTGACAAATGTATATATCGCTCTTTGTAATCTCAAACTTGAACATTAAAATCAGTGCATATTAAAGATCGAAACAACTCGGACGTTTTACTCTGCATTAGGGCTGAGTCCGCACAATAAATTTTAATGGCCAGCAACTACCAAAGGAGATTAAATTCTTGTACTCAAAAATGGAGGTTCAGCCTTATGTGTATTTCGCGCAGTGTTTCAGGTGTTTCCGTTTTGGACATACCGCAAAACATTGCAAGGGACAGAAGAAATGTTTCAAGTGTGGTCTTGTGCACAAAGAAAAAGAAGCATGCACAAAAATTGAAAGGAAAGCTACGTGGCTACATCGCCATCTTGTTCAGCCAGAAAGAAAGCGTATGCCATTTAGAAAACAAGGACTTTGGAAAACCTAACTATACAAGAAACGCGTAAGAAATACCCATCCCTATTTCACAGGGGAGCGCCCGCGATGAAAGATCAGTTATCTTTCCCCACGCCACCATGCCATATTAATCAGCAAACAGTACTTTTAATTCATCAGCAGAATCAGCCAGTACAACCAAAGGTAACGGGGTGAACAATCTGAGTTCCGTTTCTCAGACTTGTTCCAATGTAGCTCAGGACAAACTAAATGCATTATGTAAGAAAATCACGGAATTTATTGGTGACATAAGACAAGTGCTTGCGCACTTGGCGCTTTTATTTGAAGTCATTAGTTGTAGGGCGAGAGCGGGAGCCAATAAAGCTTTCGTCCGTTCGCTCTTGCGAATTCGGCCCGTTTCTCGGCACCGTAGCATAAGATAGGTTCTAAGGGAAATTATTGTAATATTAAATTTAGTGATCAGTTGAACTTCATCATAGCCACTTCCTTTCGTCGTCGCATTTTCGCACAAGTTTTCCACAGTTATCGCAAATAAATTATCTCGAACCTACTGCAGTCACAAGTTTCGCGTTTCTTAATACAAAATAGTATTAAATTT